ATGTCTTAGTTAAAATCACCACTGAAACATAAGAGACAAAGTGCAAAAATTAACTCTGCAGAGAGTACCAAGTCCAACTCTACAGCTGAACAAAAACAACAAAGACCGTCTGACATTTGTCAGAAACATCTCTCAATTATACTGAAACAGAAAGAGTGTATGAATTTTATTTTTAGGGACACTTTGGAAAGCTCATATTGAAAATGTAAAAGCTAAAATATCAAAAAAACTATTGCAATATTAACTAAAATAAAACATTTTCTAAATTTAAAAACATTATATACGTTATATTGTTGTTTAATACTTCTATACATGACTTACTGTGTGGAAATTAGGGGAAATTCCTATAAAACAATATAAAACGTATTTATATGCTTCAGAAGAAAGTTATATGAATTATAAATGCATTAGATTATTGTCATCTAACTAATGACATATTTATCACATTTGATACTTTAAAATTTTATGATTTAAAGTATGAAGTTAGAACAGATTGACGATGTACAAAGCATATACAGTCCTTCCACATTGTGTACAGAAGTGGTTCAAAATTAAAGAAACTAATTATGAATTCAGAAAGACTTATTTAGAAAAACAAAGGTTAGGACAAATATTAAAAATAACTGTGCCTCTGTTAGAGGGATTTGTGTTTGTTATAATTGTTGCAAACTGTGTTCTTCACTAACTAAATTTAAAATAATGTATAAAAACTATTTGTTAGAGAAATATACTAAAGTTTTGACTGTTTGCAGCTGCTGGAGTTTTGTTACAAATTTGTTTTAAAATTTCATTGGAAATTTTATTTTATAAAATCTATAAGATGTTGATTTGATTTTGATAATGTATGAATAAAAAGTGAAAGTATAAAAAGTTTAGGCTTCTAACTACTTTTTTCAGTCTATGCCTTGTCTTTTTGACACTGACAGGAATTTAAAGATTGTGTATTATTTTATTGCTGTATTTTTTTCCTGTAGTTGTTCAGATGGACTGGTTTTGGTGATTTTTTTTATATTTAAACGATAAACATCTAAGATATACCAATCAACTCCAGAGACGTCTGGAAAAACATCCTGTGGACAGACAAAAGCTGAACTTTTTGTAAAGACGTGTGTCCCGTTACACTTGGTGTGAAATTAACATGTCATTTCAGACGAAGAACATCACACCTTCAGTCAAACATGGTGGTGGTGCTGTGATGATCTGGACCTGCTTTAGGAACCACAGGACCTGCTGTACTCACAGGAACCATGGATTGATCAAGAACACTTGAGTTCTGCAGCAGAACGATGAAACTCCTCACAAACACAGGAACACAGTGGTTGCTGCCAGAGGCACACAGTGTGGCTATTTGTTTCTTCAGAATTTAATAAACTGCATTTTTTATTTACTCAGGTTTTCCTTGATGTTCGAAAACGTTTAGGAGTGACAGAACAGAAAAAAGGGCAGACATTTTTGTCACAACACTGTTATTCACAAAAGACACAAGTGGACAGCATATATTATATAAAAATACAAAATGAACATGATGACACAACCAGAATGGAAAATAAACGAGTGAAGTGTAGAAACAGAGCACAGGGGAACTGTAACAAGAAAAGGCCAAGACAATGACACAAACACGTGTTTGTTTCCATTCTGTTGATCAGTTCTGTAAAGTTAGCTGGACTGGACCAGAGGTTCTTAACCTATGGGCCGCGGACCAATTGTGGGCCACGAGCACCACCTTGAGGGCCTCAAAAGAACAACAGTTTTTAACTTTGGGCCACAGAGGGCCGTGGGACCGCATTGATTTTGAATAAGGTGTAATACACTTTCTCACCACTAGTAGCAGTAGTGCACCACTCAGATGTTTAACAACTTTTTAATATGTAGAAGAAGAACCTTAGAAATATTGTTACTGTTGTTGTTTGTCACTAATATGAAGAGCAGCTTCTGGTTGCAAAAGTTTAAAATGGCTATATTTTCATTTGTAC